GGGGGCGGGGCCGAGCCGGCCGTGGTTCGTGGAAGAACGCCCGGGGCCGGCCCCGACCCCGACCCCGACCCCACGGCCGGGTGCCATCCGGCAGAGGCGCTGGATCCCCTTCCGAAACCCTGAAAACCTCGCAGCCCCTAAACGGGCCTGGCCCAGAACCTGTCACACGAGCCCGAGCCAAGGACGGCGGTGGGCCAGGCCGCAGTGCTGGGGACGAGCCAGACATCGCCCAGGGACTGTCTGAGCGCGTTCTCTGGGGGTGACCTTCACGGTTCCACGGCGCGGCTTCTACTCAGTTTCCCCGCCACAGGGGGTGGCCTAAGCCCGCGCCTGTTTCTGAAAACGTCCTCGCAAGCATCTGGGTGACGTGCATGCCCTGGGTGACAGGTGCACCGCCGAGGGCTGGCAGTGAACGGCCCCTCCGCTCCGACCCCACAGGGACGGACGGACGGACGCTGTCCTTCTGCCCAGCTCGCTGTACTCAGCATCCTCCCTCCCTTCGCCCTTGGGAACTAGAGATCCTCCCAGGCACAGGGGGGCGGGGGGTGATCTTTCCAGCACGGAGGGAGCAGGGAAGACCCCTCCGCACATCTGGCCTGTGCAGCTGGTCCTAGGAAGCTGGAGGAGTGGGTCCCCGAGGGAGAAGTGGTCTTTGCTTCACTTGGTACCGGCCTTCAAGGCCTGTGGTTAGGACTGTCTAGGCATGGGAAGCTGGTAGGCTTGAAACCTCCTTTGCAAGCCTGGGAGCGCTTAGGCCACTCAAGAGCAACCCCCCGGGTCGGGTAGGTCCCGGGGGCCCCGGACACTGCAAGGCCAGCTCCTTTGGGGTGACCGACCTGCACAGCAGCCTGCATCAGGTGAGTGTCCAGAGCCAGTCGGCAGACCGGCCCACAGGCCAATCCAGCCCTGCCTCGCTTGGTCACAGCCCAGGCACTAAGTGCCGTTAAGTGGCTACGACACGTATCTGACTTTGCCGCTTGGCCTGATGAGCTCAGACTGCGTACTGTCCGGCCTGCTGAGGAAGTCTGCCGGCCCCCCGGGAGAGGGCCGTGAGCCCGGGGTGTGTGGGTTTAAGGTAGCAATAATGCGGGTGAGCCAAGCGTGGAATGGGCTCGTCTGTCCCTCTGCCAGTGCCCCCGCCCTTGCCAGGTCCCCCTCCCCAGGGTGACAGGGAGGGGGCGGCGGCTTCTTCCCTCCTGAGTCCGCTGCTGAGCTCCCCACACGGACCCTTTTCCCCTCGCGTGTCCTACGAGTGTTGGGGATATTTGGGGAAGATGTGAAGAGGTGCTGGGCGCGACCCAAAGGTTGTGGGCAAGCCAAGAGCACTGGGGGTCCACATTAGACTTGGGGGTCTGCTGCTACAAGGGCCAGTGGAGCGTTCTTGTGTTTTCGATGGGAGCTGGCAGGTGCTGGAGGCCTGGGCAGAGGCGGGCAGGCTGGGTCCAGCGGAGGACCAGGAGGGAAGGGACAGCACGAAGAGGGAGAATCATGGTGGGGTCTCCGTGACTCTCCTGGGCTGCCGTAACACAGTCCCACCGAGTGGTTCACACGAGGGAAGCTTATCCCCTCGGGCTGTTAGAAGCTGAGGAAGGGACCTTCTGCGCCTCGCCCCCAGCTTCTGGTATTTGCCACCATCCTTGGTGTCTCTTGGCCTATAGACGCATCACCCCGATCTTGGTCTCCATCCCACTTGGTGTCCCTGTGTCTTCTTGTAAGGACACCGGTTACTGCCTTAGGGCCGCTCCACTCCAGTAGGACCGCATCTGAACTCTGCCCTATTTCCAAATAAGGTCCCATCCCCAGGTACCTGGGCTTTGGACTGGAACAATCTTTGGGGGGGAATGCAATCCGACCCAGAATAAAGACCGAGCAGCGATGTGAGCCAGGAAGAGGGCAGAGGCCTTCCCTCCGCTGGGGAGTCCAGGAGCAGAGGCCACTGCGGAGGGGCGGGGAAGGCGTCGGCCGGTTGTGGGTCAAGGATGTTGACTGGTCCAGCCTCTAGAGAAGAGAGGCGGCAGGGCTTCGGGGCCCTGTGAGCTGAGAAGGGGACAGAAGTGTAGCTGAAGCAAAGCCAATGGGAGTGGGAGTTTGAGTGCAGCTGGTGACCCCGGAGGCCGTGAGGACAGTGGGGAGCGAGGAGAGAGAACTCCATTGAGGGAGTTGGACCGTGGGGCCCAGTGGGCCGAGCACGTTGTGGGAACTGCATCGAGAGCAGGATTTCCGGGCTCCAGCTGGAGGGGGTGGGTTCAGTAGGAGCGCGCTCCGCTCCTTGCCTTCCCTGTGCCTCGGAATTATGTGTGACACCCCCCCCCGTTCTTTCTGCCCTCACCTGCTTGGCACTCAGCACCCCATTCTCTTGTTCGCCCGTGGGTGAGTGGCAGGCAGGGTGATGCGGGGGGCGGTCTCTGGGGGGGATGGGACGCTCTGCCCGGAGCTCGTGCTGGTTGCGGGACCCACGGGTCTATGGGTCTGTCCGCCTCCTGCGTTCTTTCAGCCTGAGGCACCGTTCGCTTCTGTCGGCCCCTCACGGAGAGAGACACTTAGCCTTCTCTCTCCTCCTGGCCCCGGGAACTTATTACAGAAGTACCTTAAACACGCTCTGGGAGGACAAAGCAGACTCAGGTGTATTTTTAATTTTTTTTAATGTAGTAATTTGCCCATTTGACCACCAAGTTGTGAGACTGTCCCCAGCACCCTGCCTCAAAAGTCTCCATGGTGATGAGCGACCGGCTGCAGACAGGCGCTCTCACCATCTCGTCGTTCCCCCCCCCGCCCCCGGGCCTCCGAGCTGGGGAGTTCAAGCAGGACGCCTGTGGAAGGCCTGTCTCTAGCAGGGAGTACTCCTCCGGTGGGACCGACTCACAGGTGCAGGGCCCAGCCGGCCCGCGTTCCGGCCACGGCCACCAGAGGGCGCGCGGGGCCCGCCAGCGTGTTGTCCAGGAGTGACGGAGCATTCTGGGGGAGCGCCAGGCTGTAGGGGAGGGTCCCTGGGTGAGATGCAGCACGGGGACGATCTGATTAACTGAGGTCACCACGGGGGACATGTCCCTGTAAGAGGCGATGATAACTCAGGCTCAGATAGTGCACCCCCGGGGGGGGGGGGCGGGGATCACGCAGGAAGCCTCACCCCGCCGCCCAGGAGCGCCAGCAGCAGCCCCCTGGGCCGGCGCCCCTCACGCACATGCTTGTCCTTCAGAATCAGCTGTCCGGGACTCTGCTGAGGAAGTTCAAGAACAGCAGTGGGTGGCAGAAGCTGTGGGTGGTGTTCACGAACTTCTGCCTGTTCTTCTACAAGTCTCCCCAGGTAAGCCCCGGTCCCAGGGCAGGGGGCCGCGAGGGGGGCAGCCTTCCCCCGGGAGGACGGCGAACCGCCTGGTGGAGGCCACCTCCCCGGGACCCTGGGTTCCAGGGGACGGTGGACGCTGTCCGCGTGCGTGAGGAGCACTGCGGCCTGAGTGAACACGGGAGGGCGAGGACTGAGGTGAAGGCTCAGGGCCAGAGCAGGCCGCACTGGCCGGGGCCACCTCTCCACAGCCCCCTTCTGTTGACTCTGCCCAGGACACGCACCCCCTGGCCAGCCTCCCTCTGCTCGGCTACTCGCTGACCATTCCCTCGGAGTCGGAGGACATCCACAAGGACTACGTGTTCAAGCTGCATTTCAAGTCCCACGTGTACTACTTCAGGGCTGAAAGCGAATATACATTTGAAAGGTAATGATGCCCGCCCCGCCCCGCCCACCCCCGGCATCTCCAGGAGAGCCCCCCTCCCATCTCCCGAGCGAGCCCAGTGCAGGGCTGCCCCCTGTGGGCCTGGGCGTTTACTCACTTCCAAACTGGCCTTGACCTTCGGGGCGGGGCGCACAGGTGAGGAAGGTGGTCCCCTGGCCTGACACCCGTATCCACCTCTATTCTTCTAGAAGGAAGGGAAACTCAAGAGTTCCCTGGTTGAATAACATCCGCCCTTAACCTGTCCAGTGTCGAGGCTGCACACGGTGCACTTTTAAGTCTCTGACCAGGGAGGGTTTTAGTGTCTGGAGTATTCAGTCAGAACGTGCCGGATGGTTCTAGGGCCAGACCACCGCCCAAGGAAGGGAACAAATCCTGGGGCTTCTCGGGGTTAGCGAATACTGTTAGTGAGGTTGCCTGCGCGCCAGAGGGAGGCCCAGGAGCTGGAATGTTCAAATAAGATAGAAAGACCCAGACTGTCACCTTTGACCAATTTCAGACATTTCCTAACATTTCGGGTAGAAATTCTGGGCCCCCAGGCCTGGGATCCTGTAACCAGTGTCACTGTTAAAGCACCAGCTGGGGGGGTGGCGGGGGGGAAGGTCTGCAGGCCACAGACCAGGCAGGGCCAGGGGTCACCAGCCCCTTTAGGGAGAAATGGCTGTCCTAGCCATGCTGAGGGGACCAGAGCGTGTGCCTTCGCCGCCCCCGATCCCGTGAGCCCACAGGGTAGGACCCATGCCCAGTCGTCAGGAAAGCTCGTTGAGGGGCAACAGGGTTCAAGCGCCGCGCCCCCCACAGCACTTCCTAGTAACTGCTTGAAAAGTGAGCCCAGGGGATAACTCCTCCCAGATCTGAGCCGGGCCGGGGAGCCCTGGACAGAGGTGGGACGGTGTCACTGGGGTAGCAAGGACAGTTGAGCCTTGTAGTGACAAGACCCTCAACAGGCCAGTGATGAATTTCTCAAAAGCTCTACTCCCCGTTTCTCACCCTCGGCACTGCTGACATTGGAGACCGTTTAATTCTTTGGAGGAGGGGGGAGGCCTGGCCATTAGAAGATGGGGAGCACCCCCCCACCCACCAAAGGTCACGTGCGCCCCCTCCTTGTGACAGCCCTCGTCCCTGGGGTTGAGAGCCACCCATGTACCGCAAATACTCAAATGTGGGAAACAGGCTGCGGGTCCCGGGCCCGCAGGGATTGGGAGGCCTCAGCCAGGCAGGACCCCTCCGTCCTGGGCGCTTCTGCGGCTCTGCAACAGGAGCACCCAGGCCCGTGGTTCTCAAACTGGTGGTCCTCAGGCACACCTCGAGGAACCCCTTAGCCTTGCTTTCGTGTTCTCGGGTACCAGGAGCTCCTTCGAGAACCCTTCTGCTAAACTAGCACGTTACAAATACCGCCGTGCTGTGTTTTGTAAGTAGTGAGGTGTGTCGAGTATCGTGAAGAAAAAAATCCTGCGCAGGCTTCTAGAACGTGGCCCTTGACCCTCCTCTCGTTCTCTGGCCTCAGGTGGATGGAGGTGATCCGCAGTGCGACGAGCTCCGCCTCCCGCGCCCACATCCCGAGTCACAAAGAGTCTCACGTCTACTGAGGGCAGGACACGAGTGTCGCGGGGCTCGGCCGTGGCTGCGTCCCTGGGAGACCCTGCGTGTGCCCTGTATTAATGAAGCCTAGTAAAATTAACACCCGTCTGGAACCCCAGAGCGTGGTCGTACAGCAGCTCTCCTCGGTCTCCACGACACCGCGTTTACCCTTGTCTCTCCGAGCGGAACGGTGCTCCCGGGGGGGAGGGGGGGGCTCCGCGTCTGTCGTCCTCCCGGTGGGCTGTCTCCAGCTCGTGCCGGTATTAAAGCCTTGTCACTAAGAGAGCGCCACATGACCGTTTTTCTTCCGCAGCTGCACCTTAAAAGCAGTACGACCATATCCGTTCAGCCGAAAGACAGGGCAAGTGTCTTAAAAAAAAAAAAAAAACTTTTATTTTGATTTCTAGGCTGGTGCGTTTTAAAAAAAAAAAAAAAAAAGATTTTCCAATGTTTGTGATACACGTGGCAGAGTCTTAAGCAAATGAGATCATTTTCAGATTTCGGTTTTTCAATCTTTCTACTTTTATAATAATAGCAGGTTAGTAGGACGTACTTCTTTGATCACCATAAGCAGTCTGCAGCTCACTGCGTGCGTTCCCCTCGGGGCACCAGGCTCCGCCGAGACGCTGCTCCCGGCGCGAGCGGACCCGCGAGCGGACCAACCCGTCTCCGTGACTCCTCTTTACGAAGCGTGGCGGGCTGTCGTCCGTGCGGAGCAGCGATCGGCACGGGGCCCGCGCTGCCGCCGTCCTAGGAGCGGTGTGTGCGGTGGGAGAGCTCAGCTGTGCTGTTTGTGGTCTGTCTCCCAAGCATGAGGACCTGGGTGTCAGTGACCAGGGCCATTTGTGGTCTGTGACGCTCAGAGGGTCTCTGTGAGCTGCCCCCATGCTCGTACCCGTATCCCGCGACTGGGGTTGGGGACTGCACATTCGGTAGTAGTATATATCGTGCCCGTCTTCAAGAACATTCTTTTCTCCTGTTTGTACTCATCCCCCCTCCCCCCCAGGCATGGGGTCATCAACAGTGACCTTGCGCATCCGTGACAGTCGGACTACACAGGGAACAGGGCTCCAGGACCTGCTGGGCCCACTAGTCAAAATCCGTTTGCCTCTTCTCTGCGGAGATCGGGTGGCTGCTAGTCCCTAGTGTCCTTAAACCCCTTCTGACACAGTCCGGAGGGGGCGGCCCCCGGCACCTGCACCCCAGCCCCGCGGCCCGGCGCGGCGGAGCCGGACCTGGACCCACGGACGAGGAGCTCGAGATGTGTTCGTTATCATTTGCCTTACGACGTGTACCAGATGGTTTCAAGTACTAACAAAAGGGAATAAAAATACCTCACGCCACAATCCAGCATATTGAAGTTTTAAGGCAAAACATCACCCACCTTGTCTGGTCTTTATTTCCGTCTGACGCGGGCAGGTTGCAGGGACGGAACTGCCCAGGGGTGGACGTGGCTAGTCCCTGGGGGGGGGGGAGGGGACACGGGACGATGAGCAGACTCAGCCACGCGAGACACACACAACGTGGAACCGGGGAGGCAGAACCTTGCCGGGAGCCTGTCCGTGCTATAAAAGGACTAAAACCCAAGGGATGAAAGCAAAGACAGGGAGGGGGACTACCTTCCACGTCCAGCTATTTCCCAGACGCTTGTCCCACACCCCAGCCGCAGGACCAACTCCCTGGGAGGGTGAGCGCAGGGGGCAGCTGATGGGACAAAGGCAGTCTCCGGAAAATTCTCCCCCAGAAACCACCAGTCACTGAATTCTACAAGGCTCAGGGATGAGGGGGTCTAGTCCGTCTCCCGAGTGAGTCCGAAGCATGTCCGTGCTCGTGCTGCTTCGCACCTCTGCGGTTCCCCCCGTGACTTCAAAGTGCAAACCACGTGGGCGACGGAGACCACGTCCAAGCTGCCGGGAACCGAGCGGGAGTTTCGGAGACACCCAGTGTCTCAGTCCATTCGGGCGACTGTAACAAGTACCAGAAACGTATCTCTCAGTTCTGGAGGCAGGAAGGTGTGAGATCAAGACGCTGGCAGATCTGGTGTCTGGCGAGAGCCTTCCCGGGTCACAGTCCATTGTCTTGCTGTGTCCTCACAAGCCTGAAGGGAGGAGGGTCTCGGGGGGCAGGGGAGCCTCTTAGAAAGTTCCTAATCCCATCACTCCTGACCTCATCACCTCCCAGTACCATCCCACTGGGGGTTAGGATTTTAATGTATACATTTGAGGGTGGGGGGAACAGCCTACTCCTCCTACACACGAGACCGAATTACAGAAATGGTTTTCTGGGAACTTTATTGGCCCCTGCCTGACACAGCACCCGTATTTGATGGCAGAAATAGAAAAACGCTTATAAATGGACCGTATTTTGCCAAAAGAAAGGTACAAAATGCTACATGAAAAACTGCACTAGATGCTTCTTCACAAGACTAACCCGACAACAACATTGTTGGGTTCAGAAGGTGTGTGCCACGTGGTCACATCACGACAATCACAAGGCCAGCTCTCAAATGCCGAGGCACCCAAACCCCACCGGCGGCCACTCGCTTGTGCAGCCGGCTAGGACGCAGGAGAGAATTTCTAGAAGGCCTAAAAACCCAGCCAGACACAGCCCACTGCCTCCGTGTCCACCGCCGCCTTCTCCGGTCTGAGCGGTGAAGCTCCGGGGGGCGGGGGGAGCGGGGCATCAGGAGGCTTCCAGGCGCCCGCGAACGCATCCCAGATGCCGGCCTTGCAGGTCTGGCTGAGCGGCGGCAGCTTCCGCCGGGAGCTCCGTGCGGACGGGGCTACACCACGGCCCGCCTCCCTGGCTCACGAAGCGGCCCCCAGCCCACGTGCCCTCGGAAACCAGACCCCGGCTTGCATGTCCACAGAAAGCGGCAGGCCAGACAAGACCCGGGAAGAGATCCACTTTCCAAAGCTACTCAAACCACTTCTTCCCCCGGGGAAGCTTAATCGACGGAAGATGCCCACGTAAGCTCAGAAAGAATGATCCGCTGCTTTCCCCGGGAGGTGGCGCTGTGCTGACCGTCCAGGGGCTGCAGACTCTGGGTAACCATCGCGCCAATATGCCTCATCAGACCCCAGTCCCCGCCAGTGTGCCTGTTCCTCGCACTGGAGACCGGCTTCAGCATGTCTTCTTGAGGTCACCGTCCACGTGCAAAGGTGCACAACTCTAAGAAAGCTGCTGTCTACACTGGCTGGCTGAAAATCGGACAAGCAGAGCCCTCTGGAGAATGCTGCGTCATTGCTTTATGGGATTCTCCCGCAACGAACAAAACTGACCTTGGGCTTGTGCCTCGCACAGAGAAACAAACCACTCCCTCATACTAAATACTTGGTAGAAACACCGAATGAAACATCCTCAAGTTTTATCATCCAAGTTAACATCCCTGCTGCCGAAGAACACACAACGTAAGAATCAGCAATTTGGTTCTATTTCCCCTAATCAAAACATATCCCTTATAGAAATTAATCAATCAGCTTCTAATAAAAAAAAAATCATGACTTAATTTTAGGCTTTTAAAAAAAACAAAACGACGCTCCATTAACAAATCTAAACAAGACACACACACTTGAATCTCTCTGGCTCTGGGCCTTTGTCCTCTCCCTGTAACCCAGGCCACTGGGGCGGCAGATATCGATCGAACCTTCCATCCCAAAGTTTACCCAGTAACTTCCTTGCTTCCAAAAATCCTTTGTCTTCCCCTCCAGGAACTGCTACACCAACAGGCGAGGACAATGATCCGGATCAACAAACAGAACATGACGCCCCACGTACTTAGTCAGGGACTGCCGCAGGAACTCTTCGCTCTGACCCCAGAGAAAGGATTCCTCCTGCCTCCCCCGGGCCAGCAAGGCCCTGCCACAGGCCAGGAGACACACAGACCCCAGCTGACAGAGAGCAGCCCCGGGCTTCTTTAACAAAGCCACCCTTAGTCAAGGTCCCTGGGAAGAGAGCACAACTTCACAAATCAGCAGTATCCAGCCACATTTTCCATTTTGAAAGTTGCACAGGGAGTTGACCCGGACACTCAGCATTTTGAATGTGGGCACTTCTTTCTGGAAGTGCTGAATGTCTCACCTTCTCTCTCTCTCTCTCTCTCTCTCACACACACACACAACATGTACACTGCCCCCTGAAGAGTCACGTTTCAAGGAAAAGTATGCAAAGTAAGTGTGTTATAAAATTTATTCGTGTAAGCATTCAGACATTTTTAGGTGGGCAAGATGACACGCGGGTTTCACTATGAGCGCGACAGAAGTCCTACTGGGAAGGACGGGAGGTGGGCGTGGGGCCAGCAGTGGTACGATTCCAAACAAACGTTAAGACGAGAGCACTTCATCGGGGAGAAACTTAAAATAATAATTTAAAGCTTCATGAGGCAAGATATGTTCCAATTCAAAACACTAAGAAATAGTACCATCAAATGAAAGGAAATCAACCTGTGCGTGTACCCAAAGGGCCGCCGGGCAAACAAGAGGGGGACGGGCATTTGCGGAGGTACAAAGAGGAGTGTTCCGTAAGAGGGGCATGAAGGAGTATTAACGGCAAACCCTGCAAATACAAAATAAAACCCAAATCACTGATCACAGAATTCAAAATTTACACGTAATAAAGGCAAGGCAATAGACTCAAGTTATGGCCTGTCAAATATTTACTCCACTGACATTATCTACAGAAGCACGTGGCCAATTTGTACACAGTGATTCCTTATGCACGCCAAAAGGGTTTCCGTAAAAATGACACTATATACAAATCTGTACACTGACCCACCAGAGCGATTCTCCGTCTCCCGCGGGGGGGGAGTCACCCACTTAAAGCAGGGTACCTGAGATTTCATTTCTTCAGTTGCCTTGTCATGATCCCAAATATACATTTCAGGGTTTGTTTTTGTTTTTAAAGACACTTTCCTTGATATGTGCACAACGGCTAAAATTAAAAAACAAGAACAAGAAAATAAAATGATCGCTTGCAGGAGCCGACCCTCCCCACCCCACTGAGCGTGTCCGTCGGGCAGAGGCCGGCGAGGGAGGGCCGCGCGACCCGGGGCCGGTGGGCACCCGCGGCCGGGGGGGCGGGGCGGGGGGGGCCCCTGGATGGCACACCGCGGCAGCGGGGTCAGCAAAGGCTCTCGTGGACGTTTTCGGAGGAGGAGGAGGATGAAGAAAAAAAAACAAAACCCCAAATGCCAAAGGAATTTCAGTGGGTTGAAGTTCCTCCACCACTTAGAGAGTATCTAGGGAAAGAAAAAAACAAGAGAAATGGAAGTGAATGCACGTCATTTCTGGAACAACCCCCATACAAAAAGTCAAACCAGCGCCGAAATCCTAGTTGACTAGACAATCCCCAGTCATAACACAGTTAGGTGGCGCAAATACCAATGGGTTAATTAGTATACAAAGAATTCATAAAAACTAAGAAAATCATGATTTTGACACCACTTCTCACAGACAAGTTAAACTCAGTGGAAGAACTAGTACGTTAACGAGCGAGAGCGTGTTCAGTCTCTCAGGAGAAAAAAAAGATGTGCCTGGAACAATAAATGGTACAGCTCCGCTTACAGTCCACTTGTAAAAACCACAAAATCAGCAACACCCGAGGACGCCATGAGATCCCAGGGGCGCACACACGGCTGACTGGACTTTCAGCCCAGGAAACCCCCACTGGCCACAAAAATACGTTTGCTTGTGCAAGTGATCCCCTCCCGAGAGCTGTCTCAGAAATGTGGTCCAGAGAAGGAGCAATGTATGCTGCACGAAGAGGTCTCTCGGGGTTTTCCGTCATTGTAAAGATTAGGGAACAACTCTGATGTCCAGAGCAAAGAAAGGGTTGAATAAATTAAGCAAACCGAACGAGAAACACACTAAAAACTGTAATTATATGAGGGTGGGGGGCTGGCTGGCACAGCCGGCTTGATTTGGGCTCAGGTCAGGACCTCTGTGATCTACCTACAATGGCGGAAGCGACCCAGCACCGCCGGAAATCGTGACCGGGCCACACTGGGTGGGTCACGGGCTCGCTCTTCCGGTTCCGATCATCGTGCGGTACTGTCTTGCTTTGGAAGACAAAACAGGGCAGGGGGTCCCCGATGGCCAACATCCCCTCAGCCACCTCAAAACGGAGCCCAACTCACGGGAGAGGGCTGAGGACACGTTGAATGGGAGCAATCGCAAACCTTCCAAGCTACAGCAGCTCTTCTGAGGCGTTTCAAACACTGGGCGCTCTCCCAGAGAACAAATGATTACGTAAGAGCCTCTGGAAAAGCAGGCTGTAGCCATAGATCCTAAGATTCGTTTTCCAAGAAAGAGAAATGCCTAAGCCACGGGAGTTGTTGATGCCGCACAAAGGACCCCCCCCGTTCGTTCAAATTAAGATACACACGTCTTTGAAACGCTTTAGACACAAGTCGGCTCTTATTTTTTTCTGAAGTGACTGATCCACTGAAGTAATGCCTTTGGGAGCAAACTGGGCACAAAGCCGTGGCAGTGGCCACCGTGGTTTGGTGGCACCTGGGTGGGGCACACACAGGAAGAGCCTGGGAGCCTCACAGGAGTGGACGCACGGCACCAGCTAAGGCCTGCAGGGACCAGTGGAGGACCCCCCGGAGCAGGTCTACACAGCACAGAGCAAAGAGAAGACAGAATGGTCTGGAGACGAGAAGAATGTGGACTCGGCACGTCCTAGCGCATCACTGGAAAGTACGGCTTCCAACATGACGCGGGCAGCGGGGGGTGTATCTGCCGAGGTCCAGAGATGCGGCGGGTTCACACGGAGACGTGCTGAGCGTGAAACACACACCGGATCGCGAGGACGTGCGGCTGAAACGTACGGGAAATACCCCACTGACAGCGGTTTACGCTGCTGACATGAGCAAAGACCTGGGACGCAGTGGGCTCCGCAGCGTATTATGGAGACTAATTTCACTTGCTCCTTTTTTACTACTTTCTCAGGAGGAAACTAGAAAGCTCCAAACCGTGCGGTGTGGCCCACACTGGCTGCCGGACCAGCTGTGTCGGGCGCCACGGGGCGGGAGGAGAGGGGACACCTAACCCCCGGCCGCGCCCGTGCCCTCCATGCCCCGGAGCTGCGGGGCGATCGAGTCAGGGACGCGCGTCACTCGGAGCAGCTCGGCCAACTCGGGACAGGGTGGGCATCAGTCCTAAGGGGCGCTGTGCAAGCAGAAAACCAAGCGCACAGCGAGACCGTCATGGCACCACCAGTTCCTGGGGCGCTCTGCATATCACAACTGGACTGTGCGCTGCTTTGAGAAAGGAGGCCAACGGACCATTAAGTTACTCGTCGGTACTGGGGGGAAAGCCTCCGTGGTAACAAGGATCACGTCCCAGGATGAACAGGGACACTCAGCGGTGCTGCGTGAGGGACGTCGCCCCGACGGACACACACAAACTCTGGCACGGCTGTGTGGGGGTGAGCATCCCGGGGACTTGACTTCTGTTTTCCTTTATGCCTGTCATGCGTGAGTAGCGACAGCTGGGAGGGGGGTAAAGCCAACGAGTAGAGCGGGTCCGGTCCCTTCGCTTGCACCGAAGTGAAGGCAGCCAAGTCAATGGGCTCTACTGTGTGGCCGGCACTGAGGGCGGGAGGGCGAGCCGGGACGGCGTTTGCCCCTGAGCCGGGGGGGGGGGGGGGGCCTCAGCGCCACAGCGAGGTTTTACCCCCATGTCCCACTTCATCAGGACGCTTCACAGGCCAGAGGGCAGCCCCTTCGATCATCACTTCCAAGGTGCAAAAACACCCAACACGCCCCTAGCTTCTCTCCATGTTGTCAAGCCAGCGTCTCTGGCAAGACCTGAAATGCTCCTCACTTTCATCAAGGCTCAGCAGGTCTTTGGAACAGACTGGACAATTCACCTGGAGGGTGAATTTCAAAGCAATGACACGGCTGGCTTCTTGGGGAGCGATGAAGGTTTGGGGGTGTGGAGCAGAGCTCGGGTCACAGCACACCTCCTCTCTGTAACACCCCCAAAGGACTGCCCTTCAGTCCTGGCAGTCAGAGTGACCTCCCCAGGGGGACTCCTAGAACAAGCCTGAGAGTGGGTGGGGGAGCTCCCCTCTTGGTGGAGTCAGGCGGCATCACCAGGAGCAGACAGGGGTCTTAAGGTCCCGGTATTCATCACATGACAAGAGCTCCAAGCGCACCAAGTCTGTGGTCCTCCCCCATGGTTTCCGGACTCCTAGCATTCCCTCGCGGTGATCTTTAGAACTCAGAACTGAAGTCTTCTCTGACTTGATTCTGCTTCAACCGTGTGCCCAGGAAGCAAACAGCCAGAGCCCAGGAGCAAAACGCCAAAGCGACCGAGCAAGGACTGGGAAAGGCAGGGGGCAAACAGGGCATTTACCTCTGCAGCCGCTGGATGAGCTGGGCCACCATGGTGTCCGAGATCCCCGGGCAGGCCTCTTCCGCCAGGTAGATGGCCCCTCGCAGCTCCTCTATGGAGCCCATGTTACCTCCGCACGCCTGGCTCTTCTCCTTCAGCTGCAAACACACAAACGTGCAGAACAGCATGACCCACACGGGCACAGGAATCGGGGGGCACCTCCTTTAAGGAGGGACGCGATGTGTGACCCCCCACTGCCGCCCCGGGCGCGTGAGTCCTGGTGGGGACACTGTGTGGAAAGGGCATTCGTTAGGCCTAAGTCACTACCTTCACCAGGAAAGAACAGCGGCGGCTGGCCTTCTGTGCACCTTTCCAAGATCTGGTGGTGACATCTGACCCTTCTTCTTCTGCTTCAACCTTCATCTACACCAGAAGCACCACTTCCCAACCGCTCGGCTCCGCTTCCCCACGGAGCTGCCCCGTGGGCCGCCTACAGCTCCGCCCCTGGCGGCAGCCGGTCCTTATGATCCCGGCAAACGGCCTTCTGGGTCCAGAGGGCTGTCAAAATATTCCACTGCCCGCAACCGAGCGCCTCCCCCGCCCACCAGGAATCACAGCGGTGTCCCCGGCACGACCTCAGTAAGGCGGATGGCTCTGAGTCCCCCTCTGGGAGGGATGCGGGACAAAGACAGCTGTTCAGTCACCGGGCGCGACTGAGGCTCCCAGAGCAGGAGCCCCTCCTCGACGGCGCCTTTAGGAAATGGTTCACATTTGGCTCTGGCTTTTCCAGCTGTGAACACATCCCCGCCAGCATCGGCCCCATCCTGACCGTGCTGCCCCCTTCCCCCCGCAAGAGGGACACGGAGGACCAGGAGGGCGGCGCAGGCCGGCGACCACACCTTGCGCCCCTCCCTGTCACGGACTCTGCCACGGTGGACCAGCAAGGGGCCGCCCGCGCCCACCTAGGACTCCCGATCACCTAACCAACTACAGCAGTGTTCACAAGCCCTGAGTGCCTAACCTCTGCCTCCCCAGTTTCCTACAACGGCGGCCCTCCCCCGCCCGCCCTGCCCTGCGAGCCCCCCAGGCTCCCCTGCCCAAAGCGCTGCTGGAGGGGCTCTATCAGCCGAGAGGGAGGGAGCCACCCGCACGCACGCTCCGGTGTCAGGAACAGCCTCATGTGCAGACACGGGGACAAAGATCCTTTATTAGTGAGTTTTACCAGAATTACATAAAATGATGTACACCGGACACGTCAAACACGCGGCTATGGAGCACTACCGATAAAAACATGTAAGCAGAGCCGCCCGGGAGTTCAGAACAGTATCACGCTGAGAATTAATTCACTAATTCCAAGTAACGATTTCGGCACAGCTTCTTCATATGCCCAGTAAAAAACACACAGCTTCAGAAGAGTAAGAAATATCTATGTCATTTTCCCCTAATGGCCCGACTGATCCTCGTGGAGCGCCCGTGGCAGGATTACAGGAAAGCAAGGGAGCATCCCAAAAACCCGAAGGACCACTCTCCCAAACAACATAATAAAAAGCAGGACAGTGTCTTATGGACAGGAGAGGAAGAGAGCAGGTCCCCGGAAACAGCAGGGAGCCACACAGAGGACCCCCCACCCGCCATTCCGTTTCCATCACAAAGCCACGTGCTCCGCGGCTTCAACTCCACACCCAGGGCTCCAGCGTGGCCCTGGCTGCCAGCTGGGAAGGCAGGGCCCTCAGGCTAGCTCATGAGGGCCGACGCGGGCGAGAGCCAGATGAAGCCGGCCTGGACAGCCCGGGGCGCTGCTGAAGGGCAGACCGAGGTTCCGGCCCCATGGAGCCAGGGGGCGGGGGCCTGTGTGGCACCTCCCACCTGGGACCACCGACCTCAGACAGGAGGATCCCCTGAGACAGCCCCTCCCCTGGAGAGCTCCGAGTCACCACACAAACAGAAGGGACTAGTGTGGCTCATTCTCAATTACCTTGAAGGCAGACTGGGGGCGGGCTCAAAAAAAAAAAAAGGGGGGATATCTCCAACTGCTCTTTAAATCACCTACAAACCGAAGAATAATCTTCATTCTCATACAATTTATTCTCGCCAACATCGCACAATACAGCAGGCCTAGTGGTACCTCCAGGAGGCAGGGCGGGCTCCCCCGAGGAGGAGCGGCGGACCAGCACGTGGGTGACACGGATGACAAGTGACTTAGGCTGCTCACCTGCGAACCAGGTGGCCCTCTGGTAAGGGGACTTCTCTGGGATTACGGTGAACTTTGGGGGCACAACGGGGCAAAGAAGGTCTCCAGAGAATCCGACTTCTCTTTTAAAATAAAGTTCTACTTTTTACACTGGCATAAATTTGTCTGAGACAAAGCAATCACGCTGCACCCAAACGGATTTTGTAGAAAGCAGTACAACGGAAGCTCAAAATCACCCTGATGACAGGCGGACTTGGGCGGGGCCCGTGCACTCAAGGAGGCGACACAAAGCCCTTTCCCAGGAGGGGCTGGGCAGCAAACGGTGCCTGGGGGAGCACGAGCGGCACCAGGAAGGCAGTGCCCGCTCCCAGCTGGCCTCGCGGGACCATGACGCCGGCTCTCCAACTACCCGAGCCGGCGTGTTCTAACCTCCCCAATTCGACTGCCACATGTCACAGCAAGAGGACCCTGCCGCCCACTATGTCCCTATCATGCCCCGCCCCCCCACAGTCAACTGGGTATCTTACCTCTGCAAACAGAGGAGAAATAATTGTAGATAAACACTGAGAGAAAGGCCTCTTTGGGATGTCTTTCATCTTAAGGAAGAAAAAAAAAGGAAATCAGAAGTTAAGTATTTAATATTCACATTGCAACAATTCAGGCAACTTCAGACATGCACCATGCTAGCTAACGTAAAGTCTGAAATGCTCTCTATTTGCTGTGATATCTTTTCTTTTTTTAAAGATTTTATTTTTCTAAGTACTCTCTACACCCAGCATGGGACTTGAACTCACAACCCCGAGATCAAGAGTCGATGCCCCACTGACTGAGCCGGCCAGGTGCCCGCCCATTTGCTGTGATCACTAAATGGGACTGTCTCACGGTCCTTCACTAGCCTGCAACGTTTCCTTTGCAGTGATGTGCCAAACTCATGCAGCTGGGCGAACCAGTGTCTGGACTCCAGGCGCCAAAGCCCAAGAGGTCCCGGGAGTGGCCCTTGTGTGGGTGCAGGGGATGCCGAATTGCACCCCTGTGCAGTCTGTGTAGCAGGACTTGACTACCGAAACTCTGGAAATGGAATCAGCTCGAAGCTGGCCGTTGCAAGAGACTATGATAGGACAGGGGCCTACTTTCTACTTTTGCAATCTCTGTAATGACTCCCATCTGCCTATCAAAGCAAGACTTACAGGATCACCAGGGGACAGCCACTGGTCCACGCTGCCTGAGAGAAACTATACCACGGTGCTTTAAAGCGACTCTTTTTCATAAACTTAAATAGGCATAAAACCAATTAATCAAAATAAAGTTCCATGTAAGTACCAAAGGTACTCCATTTGCTTTTAAGATCCTTAAACAAAAACTTAATCCCAAAATTCTGGTATCTTTTATGAGTAACCCCAATATATAAGACAGACAGAGTTCTGTCCAGAGAGACTGAATGTCACTTCATGGGTGAGGTCTCCCCCGCTCCACGTGCAAGCATCAGGAAAGGCCAATGCCACGGGCGGGGGGCAGGCTCTGCACAGCAGGAAGCAGCCCTGCGGTACAGACCCGAGGCCAGATTCGCGGATCCAACTCTGGATCATCAGACGCCCGATCGTCTCATCTGTCCCGGACAGCGAAATCCCACAACAGGCTGCCCAAGGGAGCCCCGCCCCCTAACAGCAGGCTCCGCACACAAGTGACTGGGGACCAACGGATGACAAGAACGAGCCTGCGTTACCTTATTTCTTTCTAAGTCTGAAGGCTGAAGAGCTCCATTCTCAAGACTCTTTGGATCTTTCTCTCGGATAGTGAAGATCCAGTCCCCAGAGTCGCTGCCTCCAGAGGCCTGGCTGTCCGTATCCGTTTCCCTTTGGAGAGAAATCAGGCGAACTCCGTGAGCGAGCGCACAAGCCCTGTGCCTGAGGAGACCCGCACTCCGCAGGCCTGCCCGGCCACCCCTGCACCCCACCCCTACCTCCCACCCCGTTGCCCACCCATCACCCCCTCCAGTCCCTCTCGGGTGTTCAGAGGGACCCTGCCCCCGGCACCATCACTGTGAGGCTCCCTAACGTCCCCCGGCGCCAGCATCCAGCGGCCCCACCCCACCGTCCAGGACCCACGACCGTCCTCCACTCCACTGATGGCCTTGCTCTCAGATGTCACCTCTCCTCCCCTTAGGCTCCTTCCCCTCAACACTCCGACATGCGTCCCTTTTGCTCCCACAACACGATGGCCCCTCCAGCTACAGCCATCGCCCAGTCTCGTTTCTCGGTGTGTCCACCACACTCACTGCCTCCGCCTACCTTCCCCTCACCCCGAAGCCAACCCTGGCCCTGCAACTGCTACGACCAAGGCCGCCGACCCCCTGCACGCCACCGGACGGGGTTCCTGCGCAGTCCTTCACCCGCTTAAGCCCTGAGCTCGATGTTCTTGCTCCTCCCCCCTCCAGTCCCTGCACCCAGATCGGCCCTGACTTGGGCCGTCCACAGGTCCATTCCCGACGCTGGCATTTCCTGGCATCGGTCCTTCGCACTCTGCAGAGATGCTCTGGGTGACCGTGTTCATTCTCATGGCTCCAATGACCGTTTACAGCACGACAACCCGAAATCCCCAACAGCTGCCCACGTGCCTCGCCTGAACTGCAAACCTCGGTGCCACTCTACACTGGACACACCGTCCCGGATGTCTTGTCCGCAACTCAAACATGTTCCACCCCCAACTCAGCCTCCCGAGCCCCAGCCTCCTCCCCGCCCTGACCAGCTGCCTCTCCAGGCTGCCTGTGCATCTTTCGTCCCCACTGCTACCACCCTCATCTCTCCATGTCATGATCTCACTCTTGGTTCCTGGGGACCCCGGAACACTTAGGTCTCAGCCCCAGAAATTCTGATTCAACCAGCCTGGCGTGTAGACCTAGGCTGGTGGTTGACTTGGACTTCTAGCTGAGTGTGAAGGAGAACAGAAGAGGTGCTACACAGATCGGAACACTTCTATTCGTGACACCATCCTCCACGTCAGAGCAGGTGGCCCCGCTTTCCCCACCCCCACACGCCAAAGCGGCTCCGAGACCTCATCCATCTCTTTGGCTGACTGGATTCCAAAATGCTTAACTTGATACCAGTTTTTAGCAAGTAACTTCTGTTACTGTTCTGTTACAACCCCAGCATCAACCCCAGCACAACACAGAATCGCAAAAACGTGCATTTGTGGAGTTAAAAAAAAATACATTTAAAGCTGTTACATCTGACCGATATTTTAAGGGCAAGAGAAAGAAAAGGAAAAGGAGACCAGGTCTAGTTCTTTATGGACCGTTCCACCACAAAGATTTTTCTTGGAGACTCCACTAGCAACAAAAAGAGGCTAAAAAGGCCCCCAAATTGTCCCATACTGACATAAAAATCACCATCAACCTGGATTATCTAAAAACAAATTAACAAAGAAATCCAGAAGTAACAACAAAAAACCACACCCCAAATAAGAGAGAACAAACGCGAATGTGACCCATGCACAGGGCTCCCAGGCCGCCCGCCCGCCCGCGGGGGCCCGGCCCAGGTCACACCTGTCCTGCACGCCCAGGTGGAGCGGACTTACGTGTCTGAGTCTTCAGAGCCGGAGTCTTCGTGGCTCTGCTCGGCCTTCCATCTCTTGTACCTGTCGATGAGCTCAGTCAAGTAGGATGTTTTCTTTGCATTGCGTATTATAAACTTGTGCTTCAGTAACTCCTTAGCGGTGGGTCTCTGAAAAACAAACCGCCAAACAAAACAAAGTAAGAGATGAAGTTCCCTGCGTTCCACCTGCTTCTACCCCCAAAGGAAACACTTTGGCCTCAAAAAGTCAAACACCCACGCTAAGATGTAAAGATCGAGTTCTGCTTCAAAGTCTGTTTCCCTAACAAAAGCCATGATTCAAACAGTAGTCATCCAGCACCCATGGGTGGGAACCCAAGTACCGTGTGGACGTGGCATTTGGTATCTAATGCAGTCCGTAACACATTACAGGTAACCACCCAACAAAAGCAAAAAACCTTTCCCCGGAAAGAGGCATTGACACAGAAAATGTGTCAGAGAATTTCAGAGATCATTCAAGACAGCTAAACTATACCTCCTGGTTTTTAAAAAAATTTTATTACAAATGCTAACAAGAGAGAAAACATGTCCTGTGTTACTCTGTTAACTTTCTACATTACTACTTGGCTCCACCCCCCCAAAATAGATCGATGTTAATTGGGATACATCTAGAGGGAACTAGAAAGAAGCCAAGAAATACCCTTTTCTTTGATGCTGAAAGAGTACCCGAGTGCTCTTACTCATCAGCTTCCCCCACTTGGAAATGCGGGCTTCCCCAGTGTCTTTCCCTGGGATTGCGGTGAGGACCTCACCCAGGTCCTGGGCTCCACGTGGCCACAGCCGCACAGCATACTCTGACGTTGGCAACTGCCTTCCCCTCGCGGATGGCAAACCCAGTTACAGGGAGCAACTTCCCAAGGAGACCGGGCGTAGCCCAAACGAGGGCAGACAGGAACACACAACCACTACCAGAGAGACTAAGTTCCCACTTACTAAAGCGTTATTCACGAGAGCCAGCCGTGTTTCTCAAATTCAAGCTTATAGAAAACCTGGGTCACCTCAGGTGATGTCTCACTCCCCGTGAAACTCCAAGCATCTCAGAAGTGCTCAGAGTCTCCGTTTCTCCCCCTTTTCCTCAGTGTGCTTGGGGTCAGGGTAGGAGTGGAGATGTGTGCACTGGGCAAGGATGTGGATACTAGAAATCCGTTTTTAATGGGAAGATGTGTACACGTCTGGGTATATCTTCTTGGGTGCTTCTAGCCTACGCACCGTGGCCGGGAACTCACATCATAACACAAAGTTCAGAGCATCGTGGACAGACAGAACAACAGCCCTCACCCCCCGACGCCTGATGCGTTAATAAAGCGCGGACTTGGTGAGCTCAGGCCACGTCCCCTAGAGGTTCGCAGAAAATGCTGCATCCCCCATTTCATGCCTTTACCAAAACTTAACCAAAACTGGCATCATATTAGAAAACCATGGTGTTCGGGCCCCTGGGTGGCTCAGTCGGTTAAGCCACTGCCTTCTGCTCAGGTCATGATCCCGGGGTCCTGGGATCGAGCCCCGCATCGGGCTCCCTGCTCAGTGGGGAGCCTGCTTCTCCCTCTCCCTCTGCCTGCCTCTC